TCCAATATTTTAGCCACCTGATGTGAACAGCTGACTTGTTAGGAAAGACCCTGATGCTGAGAAAGATTGAAGACAGAAGGAAAGAGGGTGACTGAGAACAAAATGGTTGAATGGCATCACCAATTAATTGGACATGAACTTGGGCAAACTCTGGGAGATGGTGAGAACAGAGAAGCATGGCATGCTGCAGTCCGTGGGGTCACAAAGAGTTGGACACGACTTGGTGACTGAACAACAAGCTCAGCTTGCCTGATATTTGGATAAATATAAATGTGAAATTCAAGAGAAAATATATAAAATAAATTGAAATAAATTACAGATGCCAGCATAAATTATGGCTAATATTTCCATCTGAAACATTCAGATGGTAAACATTTTAAGAGCAGCACAGTTTACAACGTGAGTGGAAAAAGTGTGCAATGAAGAAATCAGACTGAAATTTCTACCTCATTGAATGGCTCAGAAATACCTAAGATGAAAGAAAAAAAGCTTTGGGAGGTGAGAAGCACATCTCATGTGTTTTTCAGGAACTTTGCCACCAAATTGGCCCTGCATGGATGATGTACAGATCCTAGGGAACTTGAAAGGGAGAACCAAATTGACAATATATTTGAAAAGTCCTACTAATCTTTTTTTGAATCATGTTATAATTTAGTCATCCTGAAATTGAGAAAGATATTCTGGAGAAATGGCTTTTATGCACATTTTAATAGAAATCCACCTATGTAAGAAACACAGGATTCTATCATGAGCATTGTTCTTCCCTTGAAGGTTTGACTGGAGGGTGAGAGATATGAAGAAACAAGCTAACAAGCAATTGTGATAAGTTCCAAGGCTGCCTCTAGGACCCCACACAAGGGCTTCAGACTGAGGGAGAAAGTGGGTTCTGATGATCAAGTCATGCACCCTGGTATCAGATGCATCCTCTGGAGGCATGATATGGCTGGTAGAGGATGTGATAGGTACTCTAATTAGGGGAAGCCCAGAGCACTTTGGTGGAGGAGGAAATAGCAACCCACTCCAGTATTCTTACCTGGGAAATCCCAGGAACAGAGGAGCCTGGTGGATTGTAGTCAATGGGGTCACAAAGACACAACTGATCATGCACGCATGCAAGGTACTCTGGATGAACAAGCATACCCTTGTAGTCAGAAAGAATTATCTGGGAGATGATGCTATCTGAATTAAGAGCAAAAGGACAGGGAGGTGTTAAAAGATGAATGTATGAGAACAGGGATGGAGGTTGGGGAGGACACTGTGTCAGAGATAGCAAATATTCTTGAGCAGAGAGACCTATAAGCAAGAGAACACATTAAATCCTCTGCAACTTTCAAGAGAAAGTTTCAACAAGCCTCTAAAAAAGAGGTCGGTCTAGAGAGGATATTCCTGATTATTAACAATCTGTTCTGAGGGAGAAATATCCCTAGAATTCCTTTATTCTCAGGCTATTCTAAGCCAGATGGAGTGCTGGGAAGTCAGTGGAATTTAGCACAACATGTTGCTCAGGTCAAAGAGTGTATTTTGTGCCATTGCTTCTGATGTCCCAGGCAGGATGGGTACTTTACAAAATAAATTTCTTTCTTTTTTATTATAGTTGATTTTTAATACTGTGTTAGTTTCAGAGATTCTACAGCACAGAGATTCTGTTATACGTTATATGTATATATTCTTCAGATTCTCTTTCCCTATAGGTTATTATAAAATATTGAATATAGTCCCCTATGCTAAAAACTAGGTCCTTGATTATCTATTTTACATATAGGAGTACGTATATGTTAATCCCAACCTCCTAATTTGTCCCTCCCCCCACTTTCCTTTTCCCTTTGGTAACCATAAATTTATTTCTATGTCTGTGAGCTTGTTTTGGAAATAAATTCATTTGTATACTTCTTTTAAATTCCACATACAAGCGATACTGTATGATATTTAGCTTTTTCTGTCTGGCTTACTTCATTTAGTGTGATAATCTCTAGGTCCATCCATGTTGCTGCAAATGGTGTTACTTTGTTCTTTTTCATGGTTGAGCAATAGTATTTCATGTTTTTTTTTCTGTGTGTGTGTACGTATGTATGTGTGTATATATATATTTTATATCACATCTTTATACATCTATCCATTGATAGACAATTAGTTTGCTTCCATTTCTTGGCCATTGTAAATGGTGCTGCAATGTATCCTGGGAAGGAATGTATCTTTTAAAATTATGGTTTTCTCTGGATATATGCCCAGGAGTAGAGTTTCAGGATCATATGGTAGCTCTATTTTTAGATTTTAAGAAACCTACATATTGTTCTCCATATGCCAGTTTACATTCTCACCAACAGGGTAGAAGAGTTCCCTTTTTTCTATACCCCCTCCAGCATGTGTTATTTGATGATGGTCATTCTGACCAGTGTGAGGTGATACCTCATAGTAGTTTCGATTTTCATTTCTCTAGTAGTTAGTGATGTGGAGCATATTTTCATGTGCTTTTTGGTCATCTGTATGCCTTCTTTAGAGAAATGTCTATTTAGACCGTCTGCCCATTTTTTTGATTGGGTTTTTTTTTTTTTAATATTGAGCTGTATGAGCTGTTTGTCATAAAAAGTAAAGTGAAAGTAGCTCAGTCATGTCTGCCTCTTTGCGATCCATGGAATTCTCCAGGCCAGAATACTGGAGTGGGTAGCCTTTCCATTCTCCAGGTGATCTTCCCAACCCAGGAATGAAACCCAGGTCTCCTACATTGCAGGCAGAGTCTTGACCAGCTAAGCTACAAGTGAAGCCCGTTTGTCATAAGAAAGAACAAAGTTTTGCCATTTGCAGCAATATAGATGGACTTAAAGGACATCATGCTAAAAAGTGAAGCCAGACAGAAAGACAAATATTGTATGATACCACTTATCTGTGGAATCTAAAAATATAACAAACTAGTGAATAAAATAAAAAAGAAGCAGAGTCACAGATACAGAGAACCAACCAGTGGTTACCAGTGAGGAGAGGGAAGAGGGTAGGAGCAATATAGAGATAAGGGATTTTTAAAAAGGGGGGTTATTATGGGATTATCTGAAATCACATTGTGTGAACCTTTCAAAAATTGTAAAGCACCATGGAATTTAAATACTCTTTAATTCAAATAAATAAACTTTCAAGTTAAAATCATCAACATCATCAACAAACGGTGCCTCTTAGCTGATGTTCAGCTCTTCAGGAGCCCAATGCACAATCTCTGCCATTTGCACACCCACAAACCTCAGCTCAGCTGAAGAAGCAAAAATGAATATCTCTTATTTCAATTTCACTAATTTCATGATCATGCCCTCTTCAAGGTGGGTTAATTTCTAATGTGATCACTTTAATGCTAACAATGCATAGTCATTAAGAGATGAAACAAAATATCCTTTTAAAAATAATCTATCAATACATGATGAAAACATTTTTTAAAATAATGTAATAGCTAACCAAGTATCACTATATATTTGATGTTTTAGACCCTATGAAACTTAGTTAAGTGACTAGATATATAAATCAGAAAATAAAGAAAGAAAGGAAAGAAAGAAAGGAAGCTACTTCGCATCTATTATCACTGTATGTCAGTATTTTTAATTTTTTAACACAAATTTCAATGTGAGTCAGAAAAGGATACTTGTAATTATTGTGTACCTCAGCAGATGCTGGCCAAGGTTTATACAAACTTCAGCCCTTTATTACATGAAAGAAAGGTGTTATCTCAAAATCTCAAGATACATCAGTAATTGATGAGTAGACAATATGAGAAGTAGATTCTAATTACAGAGACGTTTAGCATTGGGTGCCTGATTACCTTTCCCTACAGTTATTTACCAATCACAATCCAACCAAAGAGCCTCTTTCTCCATCTTTCCTAACACAGAGGTGTTCCACTTCCCCCAACCCCAACATTTTCATCTTTGCCTCGTAGATGGAAATGTTCATAATAACCTAATTGAATGATGTTTTGTGCCAGATATTAAGCTAATAACTTTTTATGCCATTTAATCACTTTAAGGACACTATTATTAGCTCCATATTATATGTGAGGAGAGAGTTTTAGAGAAGCTCAGAGAGTTACTTGCAGTTGCATAGCTATTTACTTTGTGGAACTGATATTCAAAGCCATGGAGCTGGGTCTTTGGGATCCAAACTCTTAATCACTTTGTTGAACTTCTTCCTAGTATTGCTTTTTAAGTCACACTTCTTTGACTACTAGTGAGATTGAACATCTATTTATGAAGAATTATATCTCCCAAATCCTCTTGAAGGAGAGTCAGTTTAACATAGTTATTGAAAGCATTTAACTTGATAACAGCCTTCCTGGATTCATATCTGGCTTTTCCACTTACTAACCACCACCATCAACAAATTACTCTCTGAAATAAAGATAACATATGCCTATCTTCTAAGGTTGTGGTGAAGAGTAGATGTGATAGATAATATATCAAATGCTTAACAAAGTGACTGGTACACTGTAAGCAAATTTAAAAAAATATGAAAGGTGCCTAGTAATATGTTGTTATTGTTCATGCTGTAAGAAAGCATATCAAACTAAGAAGCTGGGCAATAAAAGCAAATATTGTTGGGGTCAGACAATAGAACCAGGACTGTTTTTGTGCTTGTTTGTTTATTCCTTACAGTCTATGTGCCTATTTTTCTTTCATTCACAGCCTTAAAAAACATTATAATCATCTAATTGCCACCTGATTGCACCTGTTATTCCTGGGATTAGACCAAAAAACACCAGATTCATTAATTGATTCAGTGTTTATTGATTTCAAACCCTATGCTAGACATTGTGATAGGCAGAACCCTGGGTCTGTCAGCTGTGTTATCATTAAATCTAAAACCTAGATGTTAGTGGCTGAATAGTTCTATAAACTTAAATGGATCAAGTAGTCTAATAATAAGTTAAAAACTATTATTACACAGTTTCACACAATCCCTTAGAAAGTTTGGGTGGATGTACTCAGATTTTTCACAAAAAATGACACCTTTTTCTTTTTCCTCAGGGCTCATCAACATACCTGCCGTGGCCCTTGGAATATTCTCTGGGGGAATAGTCATGAAAAAATTCAGAATCAGTATTCGTGGTGCTGCAAAACTTCACTTGGGCTCATCGGTCCTTGGGTACCTGCTATTCCTTTCCTTGTTTGCATTGGGCTGTGAAAACTCTGATGTGGCAGGATTAACTATCTCCTACCAAGGGTATGTTTACTCATTAAGTAATCAGAGGGGATCTGTTTGTTTAACCAAATTAATTATTGTGTTTCAAGATAAGATAATTAAATTATTAAGAACATACCTGTGAAAAGGAATTATTGTTTTATTGTGGAAGAATAGACAATGCTTATGACGTGAAGCTGTTATTGTCACCAAAATCTGTCATTTCCTTTGAATCTGAAAGTGGAAGCAAATATTAAAAAATACCAAATCCATATCTTTCTTTAGGGAAGCAACCTGATAGTAGAAAATACAGACCTTGAATTTTGCTTCTCCATTCTTAGTGAAGTGATACTGTATGAGTTATTTAATCTAGCCTCAATGTTAGTATTTTAAAACCAGAAATAACAACTGCCTTTTAAGGTTTTGTAAGGCAAGATAATACACATGAAAGGGATTAGCACTTACCCAGCACAAAATAGAAGTGCCATTCTTGGAAACAATTGTAGTTTATTTTCTTTGAAAACTAGATACCTAGAAAACTGGAATGGTTTCTATGCTACACTTTATAGTCTCTGTCATTCAAGTCAAGGGAAATTGAAGGAGAAAATGGCTATCCCTCAACCCGGTGACGAACATGCAGCTCTTTGCAGTTGATCACAGGAGGATTTACTGATGCTTCTAGATTTATGCCATCCTGTGTAGGGGTAGCGATTAGATTTCTTAGTTTCCAGAGTAGTCTAAAGGCTGGGTCTTGAAGAAATTACTTCATCCTTCCCCTTCAAGAGTCCTCACTATCACTCTGTCTCTGGACCTGAATTCCCAGAGACAATTCTCCTCATCCTCCTACCTATCTATATATCATTTGTTTTAAAAAAAAAAAAAAAAAAAAGTATTGAGCTGCTACAGGTTGCTAGGCCAGCCTCCCTGATTTTATCTGCCTGGCTGCCTAAAACTCTACCTGTTGGCTCAAAGGTCAACCATCCTGACAATATGTTGTTTCCTGATGATTCAGTTGCTTCTTGCTCACTGCTTGCTCCCCAGCCTCTTTGCATTTATTTGTCTGGTGTTCATGTTCCAACACCTTCATTAACCTAGTTTCTCCTGTTGTTACATACATACTCAGTCATGTCTGCCTCTGCGACCTCATGAACTACAGCCCACCAGGCTCCTCAGTCCTTGGGACTTTCCTGGCAAGAATACTGAAATGGGTTGCCATTTCCTCCTCCAGGGTATCTTCCCAACTCAGGGACTGAACCCACATGTCTTGCATTGCAAGCGGATTCTATACCACTGAGCCACAAAGGAAGCCCACATCAATTATGCTTTTTGTCCTCTAACATGTTCAGGAAAATTAGTGAGTGCAAAGTTCATATAACATTGCTTCTGGGAGTTGTCACAGCAACAGTTAGACTTAACAGAGTATATCGTTGCCTTGATAACATTGAACAATATATATCAAGAATGTTAGTTATAAACAGGAATTGCAAGAAGATTCTGGAGAGAGTAGAAGTCCTGTGCCATGATTTCCTATCCCTAAGATCCTCATGGTGGATGGACAGTGGTCAAGTACTTTATATTTTGCAATTTAGAAAACACCTTACCTTTTTATCATCTCACTTCTATCTTAAGGTGCCTTTATGAAGTTTTGTTACCGTCATTTAAAGAACTGAGGTTAGAAAGGTCAGTTAACTTCCTTCCAGTATAATGTTTTTTTCTACTGCATTGTGCTATCTCTAAGCCAAAAGCAAATACAGAAGTAGACAACAGAATAATTTTGAGATTTATAGTAAAAGTATACCCAGATAATAAAAGATTCAATATTCTTAAACAAAAACTTTCATTGAATACTAGGTCCCTGAAAGCAGTTCACCTTGAAAGACTATAACTACAATGTAATAATGCTATCATTGTTTAAAACACCTCTTTTTTGAAATTGCTTTCCATATTTTTAAGACTATTCTCAACAATGGCAAAGATTTAACCTCTAAGAGTAGCTTTGTTATTGGAAGCAACCAAAGAAAAGGCAACATCACTGGGGAAATCTAAATCTCTCCCCTCCCACCACAACTATTTTGAAAGAAAACTCTCATAAATATAAACTTTCTGACATATTTGATAAAACTAATAATTAAAAATTTAAATAATGGCTCTACTGTCGACACATCCTTCAGGAAACATATACGCAATTAATTTCTGTTTCAAGATTGTCCTAAGTGATAAATTTAATGTTACCTTCAGCAGTATAAAAGAATTGACTATATAAAATAACCATGCTCTCCACGGTTTGTCCAGAGTTTCTTTGTTCCACAAGGTTGATTTGATTCCAGACATTCATTCAGGATCAATATAGAGAAGCTTTAGATATGATATTGCAAAAGTTTCTCTTCTGCAATGATGATAATTAACTCTGATGCCCAAGACAAGAACTTAGAATCCAGAGGCCTGGAAGGGTTCTGACTCTGGGTTTGTCACTGACAAACATTGTGAATTTGAGCAAGTTATCTGCGTACTTTGGCCCTGAATTTCCTGATTTTCCCAAAGAGAAGTTAACCAAGACCATCCCCACTGTTCTTTTGACTCTAATCTTCTATAATCTCGGCTCTACAGTATCCACAGTGGCCTGATTCTAAGCTTTCAAAGACACACGTTTGTACTTTCAGATACAGCAAAACAGTCTCAGTTAAAATTTCATGTCTTAGAGAAGAGAATAAGATAAAATATTCCTGGGTGACTTTGTAGGAGGCCTAATTAAATAGCCTCTCATTCTGCTAGAAGATACCTCAAAGATCTTTTGTCTTTACATTTGGAGTAACCAAATCCATAGTAGTTCTACAAGATGGAATATTGTATGAGAGTTTGTTATTATATTGATACATAGTAAGAGTAATGTCATAAATTGCTCTTGAAGTTTATTCTGCTTTTCTACTTTGATAGCTTTTTTCAAGTGCATAATAATATAGAAAGATATTGTAACATTCTAGAGTCAGTTCAGTTCAGTTCAGTCGCTCAGTCGTGTCCGACTCTTTGCAACCCCATGAATCGCAGCACGCCAGGCTTCCCTGTCCATCACCAACTCCCGGAGTTTCCCCAAACCGATGTCCATCGATTCAGTGATGCCATCCAACCATCTCATCTTCTGTCATCCCCTTCTCATCCTGCCCTCAATCCCTCCAAGCATCAGGGTCTTTTCCAATGAGTCAACTCTTCGCATGAGGTGGCCAAAGTATTGGAGTTTCCGCCTCAGCATCAGTCCTTCCAAAGAACACCCAGGACTGATCTCCTTTAGGATGGACTGGTTGGATCTCCTTGCAGTCCAAGGGACCCTCAAGAGTCTTCTCCAACACCACAGTTCAAAAGCATCAATTCTCCGATGCTCAGCTTTCTTCACAGTCCAACTCTCACATCCATACATGACTACTGGAAAAACCATAGCCTTGACTAGATGGACCCTTGTTGACAAAGTAATGTCTCTGCTTTTCAATATGCTGTCTATGTTGGTCATAACTTTCCTTCTAAGGAGTAAGTGTCTTTTAATTTCATGGCTGCAATCACCATCTGCAGTGATTTTGGAGCCCCCCAAAATAAAGTCTGACACTGTTTCCCCATCTAATTGCCATGAAGTGATGGGACCGGATGTCATGATCTTAGTTTTCTGAATGTTGAGCTTTAAGCCAACTTTTTCACTCTCCTCTTTCACTTTCATCAAGAGGCTTTTTAAAAAAGTTCCTCTTCACTTTCTGCCATAAGGGTGGTGTCATCTACTGTAGATGTTAATAAAACCATCAGCCAAGACCAGGATATCATGTAAAGTGGTAAACCTCTAAAGGTAACTATCAAAAGGAAGCTGTCTAAGAGTGAATTCACATTTAATGATGAGAAGCTGGTTATTTCTGATGACAACTGTGTTCCCCCCAGGCAAACTTTGTTGGCATTTCCATTTACATACCCAAGAACATTGATTTTTGAAAGTACTAGGGTATTGCCTACTAAGAGGTAACATTTTATATCATTACATTTTTTTTCCAGAACCAAACCTGTCTCTTATCATGAACGAGCTCTCTTTTCAGATTGCAACTCAAGATGCAAATGTTCAGAGACAAAATGGGAACCCATATGTGGTGAGAATGGAATCACATATGCATCGGCTTGTCTTGCTGGTTGTCAAACCTCCACCGGGAGTGGAAAGACAATTGTAAGAAACCTTCTCTAACTAAAGTGTGTGCCCCTGGCCATGCAACAGTGCTTAACTACACAACCCTATGGGGTCTCAGGGACCAACCCAGGAGCAGATCACATTGATAGAATCCATGGTGTTTACTCTGCCTTTGTTGTTTTACATGGTGACAGGAAATAAAAGCATCACTAGTAGAACTACAGTTGTTGGAAGAATTGGGGTCAGAATGAGAATACTGAAACAGGCTGGAGGAACTTTGTAATTATGTAGTCTAGTTCTCTTATTTTACTAGTAAGGAATACTAGCCTCAAATGAGAAAGTCTCAGTCATAAAATCATTTAAAAGCATCTGCCTTGGGCTCCATCTCTCCTGATCCCAAAACCAGTGGTCCTTGCAGGTTTTGGAGGACAGAACAAATAGAGGCCAGCATAAGGAAGTTCAGCCCAAAAGGTCTAGACCCAGGGGTCAGAGATCCAGAGGAGGTTGATGGTTCTGAGACAGCTCTGCCTGAGATATCAAGCCAATTTATGTAATGATGAAAAGAGTAGATGGCTGGACTCAAGGATTCCTAAAGGGTGTAAGAGGAAGACAGGGTTGGAAATATAGGTAGGAAACCAGTTGTGAAGAGTATCATGTACTTCAATTAAGAGTACTATGTACTCCATTAACAGATTCATTCTTCTAATCACACCTTTATAGCCCTGTCCCTAACAGACTCTTTCTTATACTCATTGTGTATAAGACACAGGGGTCAAATGGCTTTCTGTTTGTGACTGATGAAATCTACCTGTATTTGACAGCCCCAGAGAGCTGAAAATTAAACCACACACATATTTATGTATTCTTATCCGCTAGATTAAGAATGCTTGGGCAACCACTTCTATAGACAGTCTCATGCTTGTTGATTTTCCATTTACTGTTTATTTTGACATTTTCTTCAGAGAAGAATGGATTGGTCTCTAGCAACACTGATATTAAGACCACCCACCCATCTGAAATCTGAGCTTTAATATTCCCTTCTTTTTCTTCCTTCTTGTCTTTCTTCCACCCAACCCCCAACTTTGGCCACTATACTCTTTGGCCTAAACCACTTGAAGGATTTTCTTTTCTTTTACTTTGGATTTGCTTTTTTTTTAAATTGAAGTATAATTGATTTACAGTGTTGTGTTAATTACTGCTGTATGGCAAAGTGATTCAGTTATATATACATTCTTAAAAGTTTTCCATAGGATATGAATATAGTTCTCTGCACTATACAGTAGGACCTTGTTGTTTACCCACTCTATATATAAAAACTTACATCTGCTAGCCCCAGCCCCTACTCTATCCCTTCCCCAACACCCATCTCTCTTGGCAACTGCCAAGCTGTTCTCAATGTCCATGTTTCTGCTTTATAGATAGTTGCATTTGTGTCATATTTTAGATCCCACTTGTAAGTGGTAACATATAGTACTTTTCTTTGTTTCTGGCTTACTTCACTTAATGTGATAATCTCTAGTTGCACTGAAAGGTCTTTCTTAACCGGAGCTTCCATTTATTGAAAATGTTGCATGCCAGGGACTAAGGGAAGTACTTTAAAAAAATATTTAGACATCATGATACTCAAGTGATTGGGTATTATTTTACTTATTTTGCTCATGTGAGAATTAAAGCATTAAGATACAAGGGATCTGCCTAAACTTATGTATCTGGTGAGAGGCAAAGTCAAGATTCAAAAGCTTTTTACCTGACACTCAAAACAAAATCAAAAATCCTCTATTGCTACTCCTCTTCTAAAAGGAAATGCCACTTTATTTCATTTTTTACCTAAAAATTCACAGTCTTTTGTAATAAAAATGACAACTCATTACATGTACACATTCACACATGAAACTTATAGAAATAAACTGATGAGGGATTATGAAAGTTGCCCCTTTATCCAAGCTTTAGTTAGGTTTTACTTATCAGGGTTTTTCTTTCCTTCTCATAATCACTATATATTCTTTCATATCTTCAAACTGTGCCCATTTATTTAACAAATTTTTACTAAGCACTTAAATTGAGGGCCTAGTTTTAAGCCTACATGTAAAATGATAACAAAGCAAAGAGTTTCTGCCAGAGGTTACATTCTAGTGGGGACATGTAGTTTAGAATTAAATGATTATATAATATCCTGATAAAATGTAATAAACGCTGTGAGGAAAACAAGTTAGAATAACAGTGTGGAGAGATGGAGGTACTGTTTTGAATGGGTGATTTTGAAAGCTCTCTCTAATGAACTATCTGAGCAGAGACCTGAAGTGTGTTTGCCAACCATGGGACTCCCTAGAAGAATTACCCAGCAGAGAAAACAGGAAAACCATGAGGCCTGACTGGGCTGACCACGTTTGAGGGTTGGCAAGGGTCCCATGGGAGCTCATGAGTAGAGGCAGAAGGGGAAGATCACAGAGCAATGAGATCAGATTGGGATTCAGGAGATGCATCGTGGATAGTGTGGAAGCCGCTCTAAGGACTTGGGATTTTATCCAAGTACAATGAGACGCCATTGGAAAGTTGAGAATAGTGGTGCAATCTGACTACCACCTTTAAAGGCTCAGTTGGGTTATTGCAGAAAAGAGACCAGAGCCAGTTAAGAGTAGAAACAAGTCAAGCACAAATAGACCTTGGCGGCTTAGATTTAGATGTGGTAGGGAAGAAGGTAAGGTAGCACTGGATTTGGTGAGATTTGCTTAGAGATGGTTCTGTAGGATCAATAGTGTGTAGACCATCTGCTCTTTGGGTACTAAAATGTTTTCTCTCTCAACTTCACTTTGCTTGATACAGTCTGACACAGAAAAATAAAATTTTCCCCACTGTTTGTGTTATAAATGTATACTATAAAATCATTTAAAATAAATATTTGTCTTTAATGCTATATACTATTTACCTCAATAATTGGATTTTTCCCTGCTGTGTTACAGATATTTAATAACTGTACCTGTGTGGAACTTGCAGCCTCAAAATTAGGAAAGTCCTCAGGCATGGTGGGCAGATGTCAAAAAGATAATGGATGCGCCAAAATGTTTCTGTATTTCCTTGTGATTGCTGTCATCACTTCCTATACTTTGTCTGTAGGCGGGATACCTGGATACATCTTGCTTCTGAGGTGAACCTTGAATCTCCCTGCCCCAATTTTAACAGAAGACCATCTGTTTAACCACATTTAACACTGTGACCATCTACAGCAGTGACTTCCAACTCTGTTCTCTGGAGTCATTGTGATTCCTTACAGCACTCTCAAGAAACTTGTTCCACTTTTATGCTTTTCTCTCTTTAGGTTTTTATACAAAAATGTGATTGGATAGAAATTTTTCTATTGTAATATAATTTATGCTTGAACATTTTTTATTGGCTCTCCTCTCACAAGTCAATGCAATACACACATGAATTCAAATGTTAAAATACTAATTTTCTAACGAGTATTCTCAGTGGTAAAAATTTCCTCTTCATTGAATTAGTATTACAATTATTACTGTTATACAACTGATCAAAATCACCTAAAGATACTACAAATTTTGATGAAATTGTTAAACATGAAAAGTCACCATTTATTGTAAGTCAATCTTTTATGAGATGGATTAGGTGACTGAAATTAATTCACACATCAAAGGATTAGTTTTTTCTAAATGAAGCTGATCAAAATAGTATATATATTTTTAATTTCCCACAGCTTATACTGACTTCCCTGGTGGCTCAGACGGTGAAGTGTCTGTCTACAATGCGGGAGACCTCGGTTCGATCCCTGGGTCAGGAAGATTCCCTGGAGAAGGAAATGGAAACCCACTCCAGTACTCTTGCCTAGAAAATCCCATGGACAGAGGAGCCTGGTGCAGGCTACTGTCCATGGGGTTGCAAAGAGTAGGACACGACTGAGCGACTTCACTTTCCCTTTCATATTATAGAAATTGATTAGGAATATTCATAGAAAATAGGACCAAACATCCACAAATCTGCTTTCATAAGAGGGTTTTTTTAAAATTATTTACTAGCCATTAAATTTTTGGGCTGTGGCACAAGGCATGCAGGATCTTAGTTACCCAAACATGCATCCCCTTTCCTAGATCACCAGGGAAGTCCCTCATAAAAGGATTTAATGGGAACATGAGATATTGATGTTTTCAAATGGAAGCATAGGTTTAGTGGGAAAGCATTACACCAGAATTCTCAGACTGGGATCATTCCCTGCAGGTATCTATTTCTTGAACATTTTCTTACATAGTGCCAAGTAGGCACCTGGGCCTCATGAATAAACAGGTGAACAAAGGACAAGTTTTCCTCACCATCAGCCCATAAATGAAGCACACTTTATTTTGATGCCAGAAAGAACCATGTTTGCTTAAAGGAGAAAAGTTGTAATTGTTGATCATTTTAAAGCAGAGATTAAATATTATGCATATGAAGAATTTACTACCATGGTTAACGCTCAGTAGTTATTATATATCCTCATGATTATTGCTATTAAAATCCATCAGTTCAAGCTATGCATGCATATTCTGTCGCTATGTTGTGTCCAACTTGGACACCTCATGGACTATAGCCTAACAGGCTCGTCTGCCCATGGGAGTTCCAAGGCAAGAATACTGGAATGGGTTGCCATTTACTTCTCCAGGGGATCTTCCCAAGCCTGGGATTGAACCAGTATCTCCTGCGTTGACAGGCAGATTCTTTACCACTGAGTGACCTGGGAAGTCCCAGTTCAAGTTATATAGTCATTTTATTAAAGATGCTCTTGTTATTTTAGATGATCTTGTACTTGGCTGGTAAATTCAGATCCACAGTACTTACCAAAAGCACTCAGGATGTCACACTGATTTTAATTCAACTTAATTCAATAGGGTGCCATGGTTTTAGACCAAAACCCACAAAAACTTGCTATAGGTCATTAATCCTTTATTGTGCCTCATATTCTTACAAATTGTTAGAATTATTCCCTGTCTTTGCTACTTTACTGATAAAATTTGATTTTACTTTACCTTGCACCATTTAAATATGTCATGTAAGAATGATTAATCTTTTAGAAATATTAACTAAAAACCCAATACATTGCATATAATGGAACATGGCTTCTACATAATTTGCTTACCCTAAGCTAGAATATGTGGGTTCTCCATAAATGCTACTTGAATTCTGAGATTCTACATGCAGTAGCCAAAAAAAATAATAACTAAGTTAAAAAAATTATATAAAAAAGATTTGTGAATGTTTGACCCTATTTTCTATAGATCTTTCCTAACTAATTTCTATTATATAAGCTTTGGGAAGTTAAAAATATATACAATATTTTGATTAGTTTAATTTTAGAGAAACTTAACAGTAATCCTTTGACATGTGAATTAATTTCAAAGTAACCTAATCCACCTCACTAAAGACTGATTTATAATAAACTGACTTTACTATATGCTTTAATGCACTATTTTTTTGTGATAGTGCTTTTATTGTTTTTAGGTGCATTAAACCACAACTTAAGTCTTTTGCCCTGGGTATCTACACCTTAGCAGTAAGAGTTCTTGGTAAGTATAATCTATGCTTAAATTATGGTAGCCATTGTAAGTATATTTTAATAGTCTTCTAAATGTTTTTACAGAATTATGACACATAACTGAATGCCGTAGGTAGTAGATTCATGTTCTTTTAATTTTCTTCCCTCCTTTATGTCTTTCTTCCCTCCCTCTTTTCCTTGAATACTCTTCCTTTTTTCCAGAAATATTTATTGAGAATCAATGATGTACCCATAATAAAGTGATCTTATGAGAGTAATAACATTTTTTTATAACAATCTTGCCTCTTCTAGTACTGATTTAGTTTCCAAAAACCCATTGCTATTATAAAAGAGGCCTCTGAGAGGAAAGCAAAAAATGAATCAGTAAGAAAATCTGAAATCTAAGTATAATTTCTTAAATGATTAAATGGAAGGAATTCTGTTGAGCTACTTTCAATGCTAGGATATATCACTGGTAGAAAGATCAAACAGTCAAAGCAGGATGGCTTAAAGTTAAACACTTCTTAAATGTAATTGGAGTGATTTTTTATGACTATCAGAATTTTCAATATTCATTAGTTAAAATCTATAGAAAACAGAGTGAATAAGTCAAATTAGGTCTTGTCCTTCAAGAGTTTATATTCTAAAGAAGAACGGGAAATCACTGTAAACGTTCCTCTAGGATTCCCTGGTGGCTCAGATGGTAAAGAATTTGCCTGCAATGAGGGAAATCTGGGTTCGATCCCTGGGTTGGGAAGATCCCTGGAGGAGGCCATGGCAGCCCACTCCAGTATTCCTGCCTGGAGAATCCTCATGGACAGAAAAGCCTGGTGGGCTACATTCCATGGGGTCGCAAAGAGTTGGAGACGACTGAGCGACTAAGCACAGCACAGCAGTTTGACAGAGAGGAGCTACTTGGGAAAAAAATAAAAATTCAGAGTTTTAAATAAATGGGTATATGTAACTTGGAATATAAGAGGATATCTGATATATAAAGGGATATATGCAAAGATACAATATAATCCTGGGAAAACAATAAAAATGGAGGTCTGTGCCATCATAGTTGGCTCAAATTCTACAATATTAAAACAGAGATTATCTAGAAAAAAGGTTATTGAGTCTGAAGTACATCCCAGGCTGTAATTAGTCTATCTACCTCCTTTTGGGAGCATAGATGTAACCACAGTGTGAAACATATCTTAAGTAAAATAAATAATTCATAAAGTTGACCCCATAAAAATGAAAATACATTTAAGCTTATATGATATCATTTATTGCTATTATTTAGTTGTTCTATCATATTCCACTCCTTTGTGACCCTATGGACTGTAGCCCACCAGACTCCTCTGCCCATGGGATTCTCCAGCAAGAATACTGGAGTGGGTTTCCCTGCCCCCCTCCAGGAGATCTTCCCAACCCAGGGACTAAACCCATGTCTCCTGTGTTCCTGCACTGGCAGGCAGGTTCTGTACCACTGACCCACCTGGGACATCCCATGTATCATTTATATATAGAACCTAAAAAATACAGCAAACTAGTTAATATAACCCCCCAAAAAGCAGACTCACAGATATAGAGAACTAATGGTTGCCAGTGGTGGGGGGCAATACTGGGGAGAGGGAGTGGGGTACAAACTACTCGATATAGGATAGGCTCAAGGACCTATTGTACAACATGGGAAATATAGCCAATACTTTGTAAATACTGTAAATGTAAAAGTAACCTTCAAAAAATAAAAATATAATTAAAAATGAAAAATATCATAAAGCAAATGAAAAACTAACATATAGTGTTTTTTTTCAATCTATATAACAGATGAGTGGCTAACATCCTATTATATGGAGAATGCCTAGGTACTGAAAACAAAAAGATCAAAGCTCTAAGAGAAAAGTGGCAGCAGCAGTTTAGTCGCTAAGTCGTGTCCGACTCTTGTGACCCCATGGACTGTAGCCTGCAGGCTCCTCTGCCCGTGGGATTCTGCAGGCAAGAATACTGGAATGGGTTGCCATTTCCTTCTCCAGGGGATCTTCCCAATCCAGGAATCGAACCTGGGTCTCCTGTATTGCAGGCAGATTCTTTACTGACTGAGCTGTGAGGGAAGCCCAAAAGTGGGTAAAAGATATAAACAACCATTTCATGGAAAAATAAATGGATATGTCTTAATATATAAAAAGATGGTCAAGGCCCCTCATAAGAAGAAGAGTACAAACTAAAGCTATGCTAAGATACTGATTCTTACTTAACAGACGGGAAAATTACCAAATGTTGTTTGTTATGTATTATAATACAAATAGAAAATTGATACACTCATACATTGCTATTGTGAAAATTATACTATTGCTGGAGAAGGACATTTGGCAATAACTTAAAAAATTACCTCTAGATTTATCTTTTGACCTAGCAATCCTACTTCTAGCAATTGATGCCAAAAAATGAGCTCGCAAAAGTTTGAACTGTAATCTTATGGAGGGTCCAATCATTGTGGCATTATTTATAATAGTAAAAGACTACAAGCAGTATAAATGTACATCAATAGGGGACTGGTTAAATAAACTATAGTAAACCCACATAAGGGAATACTTTACAGCTGTATGGACAAACGGGGAAAAATCTCTAATGTTACCAAGTTTATTGGTCAGTATAGGCTGTCATAACAATACACCATGGACTGAGGGCCCTAAACAACAGGAAGTTACTGCCTCATAGTTCTGAAGGCTGCCAAGTCCAAGATCAATGTGCCAACAGACTGGTGTCTGGTGAGACCTCTCTTCCTGATGTGTAGATGGCCACCTTCTCACCGTGCATTCGTACAACCTTTTCTCTGTGCACAGAGAGCAGTTTTTGGTGTCTCTTCCTCTTTATAAGGACAGTATATACACTACTATGCATAAAATGGGCTTCCTAGATGGTGCTAGTGGTAAAGAACCTGTCTGCCAATGCAGGAGTCATAAGAGATGCAGGTTCAATTCCTGGGTTGGGAAGATCCCCTGGGGGAGGGCATGACAACCCGCTCCAGTGTTCTTGCCTGGAGAATCCCATGGACAAGGGAGTCTGGCAGGCTACAGGCCATAGGGTCGCAAAAAGTCAGACATGACTGAAGGACTTAGCATGCACAAATGTAGAAAATAGATAACTAATGAGAACCTCCGGGCTTCCCTGATAGTTCAGTTGGTAAAGAATCTGCCTGCAATGCAGGAGACCTCAGTTCAGTTCCTGGGTTTGGAAGATCCACTGCAGAAGGGATAAGCTACCTACTCCAGTATTCTTAGGCTTTCCTTGTGGCTCAACTGGTAAAGAATCCTCCTGCAATGTGGGAGACCTGAGTTTGATCCCTGGGTTGGGTAGATCCCCTGGAGAAGGGAACAGCTGCCCACTTCAGCATTCTGGCCTGGAGAATTCCATGGACTATAGTCCATGGGGTCATAAAGAGTAGGACTTGACTGAATGACTTTCACTTTCAATGAGAACTTACTGTATAGCCCAGATTTACTGTATAGCAGATATATATACAGATATACTGAATATTCTGTATAACACAGAACTTACTGTATGGCACTCTACTCAGAGCTCTGTGGTGACCTAAATGGGAAAAAAAATCCAGAAAAAGGGGATGTATGTACACAAATAGCTGACTCATTTTGCTGTACAGCAGAAATTAACACAACTTTGTAAAGAAACTATATAATAATTTTTTTTTAATGGCAGCCTCCCTATCAGATTAGGGCTTCACTCTTAGGACCTCATTTAACCTTGATTATCTCCTTAATTATTTTGCTTCCACATGAGATCATATTGGGAGTCAGGGCTCCAACTTATAAATTGTGGAGGGACACAGTTCATTTCAAATGATCTCCAGGATATGCAACTAAGTTTAAGAAAGCAAAATGTAGAAAATTGTATACAGTATGATGCATTTGGTGTAAGTATCAAAAGGTGAAAATATTATACGCAGGCACAGGTATTGATCTTTGCTCTTGTTAACAAGAATCAATGGAAGCATAAACCAAAAATGAATAATAATTTTTTTTAAGTTGCCTGTTAGGGAAGAAAAAAAAAACAGGGGGAGAGAACATGATGCAAATGAGACTTTGTAAATATAACTGTTGTATAATTTTTAGTTTGAAACAATGCAAAAATTTTATATAATTTTAAATAATTAAAAGAACCAAAGAAATTCTTAAAACAAATCAAAACTAACTGTATATTATAGCAGTAACACACCATACAGAAAAAACATTAAACTACATGAAAAACAGAATTACTATGAATTCCCCATTGCTTCAGTACATTTTATAGTATTGTTTTTAATAGTAACTTTAGCATTGTTATGTTAAAACTATTATATATTTTAAGATAAAGCAGATCTCATCTCATCAGATGTTATGTTAATATCATTAGGAATCAATATTTTCAGCATAATAGAAAAGTGATAAAAGCATAAAATATTGTAAGTAAAATTCATTAATTTAAACTTAACATGTCAATATGAACTCATATTTTAAAATAATATTAATTTTACAACTCTGTCTCCTGAAAAATCTAGAATCTATTTAACCCAGGAGAAATGAGCACCCATAGCAATGAATCCGTGGTATCTAAATATCATTCCTCAATAAGGAACCATAGGAACCTTGGAAAACTGACCAAGGTCTAGATTAGAAAATACAGAACATGATTGTGGGGCAACTTTTGGTGCAAGAAAGTGAGAAAACTCTCAAAGGGATATATCAAAAGGACACAGGAACAATCTGAGGACTTTGGTCCAAGTTGAGATAATTTGAAAATAATAAATAAAAATACTATTCTATTAATATATAACAGTCATTATAATAGCTGCAGTGTCTCAAAATATATTGAATATTAAAAAAGATATAAATGTGTAATGATACCTAAGTAATTTTGAAGAATACTAGGACACTAACTCATTATTCTTAAAACGGGAAATAATTGAACATTTACCCTGCCTTCCTTCTACTAATTGTATTTCAAAGTAAATAATGATGAAGATAAGTTCTTTTATAGAGAAATCCTAAATTATTTACACAAGAAATAAAGTAATTTTGAAAAATCTGTTTTGCAACCTTATCAATATTTGCTAAAAGCTATAAGTGAAAATGAATGAAAAGCTTAATAATGGAGGGCATAGCATGAACCTCAGTTTCATTTTAACATTACTGAGTGTGGCAAGTAGGCAGAAAGTGTCTCCTATCTGAACACAAACCACCTATGTCTTGTTCCTGCCTGAGTCAGTGCGGGCCCTACCAAAATATTGGGAAAATGAAGGATAGGAGGACAAAGCAAATGATGTCATGAAACAATCAGTCAAATCCAGACTATGGCACATTCTACAGGACAAATGTCTTGTTTCAAAAATCATTACTATAAAAAAAAAAGAGTTGGGAAAGAAGCTGATATAAAGAGCCATTAGGTAAATTTAATGTGTCTACTTGGTTTGAATTCTGGTTAGAATGAATCAGTTCTAAAGCAATGCTTTGAAGACATTTAGAAAAGTTTGAATATGAGTTCAATAGGATTAAAAATTGTTTTAATATGTGTTATGTGTTAAATGGCATAGCGATATTTTTTAATTTGTGGGTTTTTTATTTTATGTTTATTGTATTTATATATATTATATATATTAATATATACATATTAATTTTTGGCCAAGCTACACAGCATGTGTGCTCTTAGTTCCCTGACCAGAGATCAAACCCACAAGCCCTGCATTGGAAGTGCAGAGTCTTAACCACAGGACCACCAGGGAAGTCCCCATAGTGATATGTTTTTAAAATCCTGTAAGAGATGTGTTCTGAAATACATGTAAGGAGAATTACTTAATATCTGAGATATCTCTTAAAATGTTACTTTTAAAAAGTTTCTGGATGGACAATAGATTGAGGGACTGAAGAAATATGACACAGAAATAACAAAATTTGAATAATTGTTAAAGTTAGAGATGGTACTTAAAGTTGCACTATATCATCCTCTCTAATTTTGTGAAGGTCTGAAATTTTGGCATTATGACAATTTTAAAACATACAGAACATGGCAAGTATTTGAGTACTGAGGAATGTCTTCACATTATTAGGAGCAATGTAAAGTTATTAATAGTTATCACCTAAATGTTTTTAGGAGACAATCTGTTCAGTTGGAGAATGTATATAAAAAGAACTATTATTTATGATGTCAAATAATCCAAATTAACCATTCAGCTTTATCAATATAAGCTTTTAATTATCTTGTTTATGGGACTCTGCAAAATAAAAGTTTATGCCGTTAGTTCTTTTTTGAATCTGCAATTCTTCTCATCTTGGTACAAAGAGGGAGTTGTTGCTTAGTTGCTGAGTCAGGTCTGACTCTTTTGCAATCCCTACCAGGCTCCTCTGTCCATGGGATTTCTCAGACAAGAATACTAGAATTCGTTGCTTATTTCCCTTCTCCAGGGGATCTTCCCAACCCAGGGATCAAACCTGTGTCACCTGCATTGGCAGACAGATTCTTTACCACTGAGCCTCCAGGGAAGCCTTTATAAAGAGTTGAGAAACTTTTGCAAATAACTTCCTTTGTAAATCTCCATTTTCCTTACAAAAGGGAAACTTATGCTCTGTCCTCAGAGCTTCTTCTATGACTTCTGTTTTTCAAAATTATCAGCTCAAAATAATCTTTATGCCAGAGGCATGCTTGGGGGTGGCACATTCCGGTCTCCTGGAGAGGCCCTGCAATTTCCAAAGAAGTGAATTTGGGACAGAATGTCGTTTCTGAGAGTCATTCTTCGTAGGCTAACCAAAAAGATATGCATATATTTTTAGTGGCAATTATTTGTTTTTCTCACAGCAGGAATCCCATCTCCCATATATTTTGGAGTTTTGATTGATACGTCATGCCTCAAGTGGGGATTTAAAAGATGTGGAAGTAAAGGATCCTGTAGATTGTATGATTCAAATGCTTTCAGGTACCGTATCAAACTCTTTCCTACATCTCATTGCTACCACATGCAGGTTTGCAAGAGGCAACGGGCACAAATAATCCTCACATAGTTTCATCACTTGTAAAGAAAAGGAGAATCTAATCCGGAAGTTTGTTCTGTTTTATAGAATAATTCTATTATTATCTGACCATTTGGCTAGATCTTTCAATTCCCCCCACTCTTAATCTTGACTCCCATCATTTAAAAAAGATAAGACAGAAGATTTCAGAATAGAGTAGGATTTTCAAAGTTTATGCACACAACTGAGTTAATGCCCTGAAACTCAGAAGCATTTAGATTTAGGTCACATTTGGGGTTTAATTCTAATTTTTTTTTTCCCCAAACTGAGCCAAACTGTCCCATTTACGTCAGCTATAATCCCCCTGGGCAAGATTTGGATTTGGCTCTAAATCTGTCCGGTCTTTATTGCCAAACTGATGTTCAATTATTCCAGTACTTGAAATGCATAAAAGTAAAAGATTTTCTCTATGTGTGTACAGGGTTAAGGGCATGGATTTTTCACTATGGTATCATTCAGAGCAATTCAGCAAACATTGAGTCCCCTTATTGCTTAAAGCAATGCTTCAATGGCTTAAAAACAAGAAGGACTTTTTTTTTCAATTTACAAGCTGAGCATTCTCTAGAAAAATAAACTTACTACTAAACCCTGTAAGTTGGATGTGAATTGAGCTGACCATCTCAAATAAATTTACTTGACTTAATAGGCTTTGATGACATGTGAGAAATTTATGTTGGTCTTTGAAAGGGACCTGATGTATGAGGAGAATTGGCACTTTATTCACATTTACTCGGGCTGTATTTTACTGTAAAGACAATGTAACTCAGAGACTATGAGTGTACATACAAGGTGACCAGCATGAATCATTCAACCTGTGCTTTCAGGCCTTCATGTCTTATCATCTAATAGAGCTAAAGGCTTCTCGTGGAAGACACTGGATGTAAACCTCTGGTTTGCTTAGGTCACTCTAATGTACTGAGATCTCCAATTCCTCTTTAATGTTACTTCTTGTAGTTTTTCTGTAGGAGTGAATCTGGGCAAGTTTCACGGGGAGGATAACCATATAATTTATCATTCAAATCTGGATATTTTTGACAAGGAAAGGGGGCAGATTACCCTGGGACAACACTAGCTTATGCTAGCTTATGCTGGGACTGTTCTAAGCAAACAGGTCTATAGTCACCTAGTCTAAGGAAATAAGTTACAGAGAGGATGGAAAGGATTATATAATTAGCAGTAACTGAAAATGATGGCACTACTAAAAATTTGCTTTATATTAGCTTACTGCCTTCAATAGTCTGTCAAATGTTCACAGAAAGGCCTTTTATAGCCACTGAATCTGCATTCTTAAAGAAAACCATACTCATGATAGTTTTATTGATATTGATTGATTTCATTGATACTGATTGATTTCATTGATATTGATATTTTTGGATGTTATTACATTTTATTTAAAATTGCATAGCTACAATAATTAAGACTGAGTTTCTGTCTTCTTCTAGACACATATATCTGGGACTAACCATGATGCTTGGCATAATGTCCATTTTCCTAAGTACTGCAGTACTTTTCACTTTAAAGAAAAATTATGTTTCAAAACACAGAAGCTTCAGGACCAAGAGAGAAAGAACAATGGTGTCAACAAGAATCATGAAGGAGAATTGTACTACAAGTGATCATTTGCTACATCCCAGCTATTGGCCAGGCAAGGAAACACAACTTTAGAAAAATGGTCACTTGAAGCCATGTTTTCTGATTTATGGAGATTGTGCAAACCAATATTAATCAGAAGGGTTTTAAATGTGTGAATTCTTTCTCGTTTCAAAAAGCTATCTACTTTGTTTTTGATACTGTACCTGATAACAAATATAATTAATCATGTTATAGAAGATGTAGATGGTAAAGTTAATTATAAATATTTTAATTTATAAACAAATTCCTTATATTATTTACTCATTCTGCTGAATTTTGCCTGTGCCCATTGATATATTAGCTGTACTTCTAGTAGAACAATTGTCAATATAACTTAATGGCTCTATGTAATTTCCAAACTGACATACTTGCCTAGGATAAGAGAATACTTAAGGAAAAAAATTAAACATCTTGTGTGTGTGTTCAGTCACTCAGTTGTGTCTGACTCTCTGCAACCCCACAGACTGTAGCCTGCCAGGCTCCTCTGGTCCATGGAATTTTCCAGGCAAGAATACTAGAGTAGGTTACCACCATTTCCTACTCCAGGGGATCTTCCTGATTCAGGGACTGAACCTGTGTCTCTATTGTCTCCTGCACTGGCAGACAGATTCTTTACTACTAGCACCACCCGCCTAGGAAACATCATCCTTCAAATATCAACTTAATGATGATGTTTGGATAGAGTAAGAACATGTAGAGGAAGATTTCATTTTAAGCTCCTTTCTTTTGAAATATAGTAACTGATATAGATTACTATATCAATCTATATAGTATCTATATGCTCTATCATTGCAAATGATCTTGGAGGATTCGAATTTTGAATTACTAACTCTTCTGCTGTTCATTATTTCTACTTTTTGTGTGAGATTTTTTTAAGTGACTAGTTGTGAAGTAATAAAATGTATATGCTTTCCTGTCCTTCTATGAATTCAATGGAGTAAAAAATATTGTTAATACGGCCCACATTTTAAAGTATATAAGTAGCTCCAGCCTTATGACTGCTATATGATACTGATATATATTTGAAAGTGAATTTCTGAAAATCTACAATGAACTTATATATTATGATAGGAACACAGAGTGATGGCTCAAGTGGTGGTGGGTATAGTCCCTTTTGGTGTCCTTCTGGCATCTGTCTCAAAGTTTCTGGATGGGGTGGTACCACAGGTCCACCCTGCCATATAGTTCTCTGTCTGCAACTGAAAAAGTCAAGCCAGGCATTTCCTCTTGAATGACTTCCTGGTCTTGCTCTCACTAAAACTAGCAGATTCAGCAGTCCGTCATCGTTAATCTTCAGCTCTCCCATGTGTCATGTCTTTCTTCCTCTATCACAACTGCACCCTAGGAAGGGACCCTGACCTTCCCAAGAAAAACAGACTTAGGTAGATCCACCCCTCCCCACCAGTAAAGTCTTGAAATTATGCCACAATTCTTAGCAGCCTTCAGAAAACACCAACAGGACACTCCCAACAACATGTCTTTTTGAGGTATTTCTTAGGAGACCAAGTTAAACAAAAAGGTCCAGCTGAAAAATGCGGTCACCTTACTCACATAGTTCAAGGATCATATAGTACAGACAAAAGGGTTTATAGTCTCTAAATTTCCCCCCTTATACACCAGTCCTGAGAATACGATGAGTGGACAATGAATGGAAAAAACCAGAGATGAAAAGTGTGGGGATGGAGAACAGAAAAAACTTCTTTAAATATATATTAATTTTTCCCTTTTATTTGAATTGGTGGTACAAGATTATTTCCTATTTTGCTATTTTTTAAAATGAACATAGACTTGTTTTGTTTCTAGAAGACCTACTTTAAACCTGCTACTGCTGCACTAATTTGTGAGCGAAAATCCCTTTTGTTATCTCAGTATCAGTCTTACACATAACAAATATTTACTGAATGGGTGAGTAGGTACACTTGTCAAGAGTTTTCTTTGTAGAGATGTAATTAAAATTCAAGTTCCTCATGCTGTCTCCCACATCCTCTTTATTTCTCAAAGCCTTTGTAGCAATATCCTGAAAAATAACTTCTTTGCAAGTAAATTTCTAAACAGGATCCTATCCAATGTACTCCTAAATGACCTGAAAAATAAAAATTAGCATAAAGGATATTTATAATGACTTTTTCATAAAAACACCATCAATGAAAAGCATATTTTTATGCATACCCATTAATTGAACAGTGGAATTATACATACTAAATTCAGCTGTATGGTATAGGAGGGTATCATTTAGGGTCAAAGTGAATTTAGCAAAAGGAAACTTGATGTTTTAGATGAGTAAATTCATCTGACAGAAGTAAAGAGAATTTTTTATGGCTCAGAAAATAAATGCTTGATTTTTTTTTTTGACAAACCAAACCCCATTTCAGAGGTCAAAAAAATTCCTTCAGCCCCAGGGCCAAATATTAGAGGTAAGACCTTGACAGACATGCAGGATCCCACAATTGCACCACTTTATTCATTTACTGTACATTCATGATCCCTGGAGGTCATCAGCACCTCAAAAGAACATCTGATTCACTCTAACCTTCAGACAGGTAATGCTCTAGCAGTATAATTTTATAAATGGAGTGACTTAAACTGGATTAAATAACTTGCTCAAGGTGGAGGCAGTCACACTAATGCTGGCTTCTTCTATTATATTGTGATACCTCTAAAGCAAGTAATAAAGGCAAACAATATAAAACACCTAAAAACAGCTGGAAGAATATTGTGACCATGCACATTTAAGAAATCTTCACTTACTATAAATTTGTAGACTCAGACATAAAAGGAGACTGAAAGCATAAATTGACTGTAACATGTCAGGCTATAATTGTTATAACAATTTTAAATATAACAATTAATATTAATTAATTAAGCACTCTCTTTACCTGTGGAAAAGGAAATGGCAACCCACTCCAGTATTCTTGCCTGGAAAATCCCATGGACTGAGGATCCTGGTAGGCTACAGTCCATGGGGTCCCAAAGAGTCGGACACGACTGAGCGACTTCACTTCACTTCACTTTACCTGTGCTAAATGCTTTAGACACATTATCTCAATTTCAAAGGTCAAGATAATTTATGTGTTAGGTGTGAATACTGATATGAAGTTTCACAGGAAGCTTAGAGAGTTTTAGTGACTCTTCCAAGGGCAAGGTGTTCTCATAGATGGTAAAGCCAAGATTAAATCTAAGGTTGATCAAATTTAAACAGCTATGTTATGCCCGTATTAATCTAGATCTGAAAGGCTGTTGCTGAACCACGGAAAGATGCTGGGATTCTTGGCCTCCGGAGAAGAATTCGATGCAGGCCCAGAGACGAGGCTTGATCGCTCAGAGCTTTTGTGCAATAGGGTTTTATTAAAGTATAAAAGGGATAGAGAAATCTTCTGACATAGACATCAGATGGAGGCAGAAAGAGTACCCCCTTGTTAGTGATAGCAATAGAGTTATATACCTTTAAATTAGTTATTACAATGAATCAAAAGAATGTCTGGAAGTTGTAAAGATCTTACTAGACCCACTCCCATAATTTACATTTTAAAATAACAGGATTAGCCAGAAGATTTTCAGGAAGGACAAACTGTCCTCAAGCGGGATACATTGCTGTTGTATAATCCCTAGTAGAGAGTTTAAACTGAGTTGTGTTATTTACTAAGACTAAGGAATGTAGACCAAAAAAAGTTTGTCCTTTCCTCCTCCTTGAGAATTCCAGACCCCAGTCTCCACTTCGAGAGCCCCATACCCCTTTCTCCTCCTTGGGGACCCTGGGCTTATCAATCTGCCTAGGAATTGACTCTCTCAGATCCTAAATTGTAATCTTCCACTAACTTTGCTGAAAGTCAGTTTTGCACATGAATGTTAAGAGGTTTTAGCATACTAAATCATGGACATGGCTTAAAAAAATCAAATGCCACAAAATGATTTAAAATGAGAAGTAAACAGTCCTCCACACCACCTTCACTTCCGTTCCTCAATGGAACTACTTCTAACCAGTTTGGTTTGTTGGTTTTTCTGATGGTCACTTCCATTATCTTTAAATAGTATGCACACACCACTTTCTTAATTTTTATCATGGGCAATGTTTGTTGACTGATTATGTCAGTGTTCTATTAGATTAGAACTAACTTCACTTACTCCTCCCTCAGTGATCTCTACATAGTGAGGTCACTATTCTAGTTTCCTCAAATATCACATTGATACCTTCATTTCTTATTCAATAAACATTGAGTACTATAATTTTCCCCACTCTACAAAATGAAGACCTTAGAGATCCCCTCCCTTCCCTTTATGTCTGCAAGCTCTGGTATATCTTCTTCTTTCTGTTAGCTGTATCTCTACTTTCACATTGTTAAAATGATGACAATTTCAATCAACTCTGCAACTGTTCCATCTAGGAAAGGCTTGAAGTTTATGATCATGATCAGTGTCAATGCCATCTACTGTTGAAGTCATGAATGCTACTGTTAGAAAAAAAAATTAAAAAGAAGGAAAAACATATTTAATGAGGACCTACTATGAACCAGCCTAATGATAGCATATTTAAATATTAATAAGTGTGATGTTTAAAAGTGTTTTATGTTTGAATAATTTTGGAATATTTAATGTTAGCTCTCATATATTCACAATGTGATGCTGTAGATTGCCAATCTCCTAAAGGGAGTGTGCATTTCAAATTTATTTGGCATTAAATCCACTGCTTTATTAACAAGTCTTGGACCTGACTAATCTTCCATACAATATATTTGGAAAACAAAAGTTTATCCTCCTCTTTATTAAAAATTTTGCTATCTTTGTCAGCTTCTGGTATCAGGATCATGCAGTTTTATAAAATTAACTAGAAAGCTATCTTGTTTTTAAATGCCTGGAAAAGATTTTGTAGCACAGGAATTATCTGCTGCTCTTACATTTTAGGCTTTTTTGAGAAATAATACCTTGAAAAGTTGTGCATTGGTTTTTGTAGCTTTACCTAAAAAAAATTTGTTTACTGATTTCAACTTTCAACATTTGTAATTTTTCTAGAAAAATCTTCCAGGTTTTTAAAAGAC